CACATGCTTAACCTAACGTTGGTTATGTAAAGCCTATTGCACAATCTAAAGCTGTAATAAATAAATTTGTAAAAGTTTTCATTCATAAAAAGTCGGTTCTAGAAATTCAATCGAGAACTAAATTTCTAGGATGAGAATTACTTAATTTTACAAATTCGATATTAGGACATTTCTCCCTAATTGGTTCTTTTTGTAAGTCAAGGCGGATTATTTTGTGATTCACTACATTGGACTTTATATTAAAAAACCTAGCTCTTCACCAAAACTACAGATAGCCGTATATAGTGATTATATTGCAGAGCCATCCTGTAGAAAATTTCAAATCTTAATTTGCAATCTATGTACTTTGGTTTTCACAATGAAAATCGCCTTGCACCCAGTATGATTTGTGTGGTTTGCATAGTAAGTCCGAAACATGACTCTGATAAAGAATTTCGTTAAAAAACCTAATATTTCAAAAGTTTGTCGTTTATTTTGTTAATTTTTTTTCCCGCCTCATATTTACTTTTTACTTTTTTTTTCTAGAGACTAATCTTTTGATACATGTACGCTCAGACCTGAGGAAGCTAAACAAAGAAAAATATCTGGTCATAGGCAAATACATGTACCAAAGAGCATTTTAAAAGACTGGATTTATAAGATCGACGGATCCAAAATTCTATCATCGCTGCAAATCGGAATGGCGAAATATAAGTGATATAAAGTTAAGAAAATCAACTTAGTTTCTCGTGCTATATACAGATATATAGCTCATGCATTACAATTTCTTTTTTTTATATAAAAAACATTAAAATATTTTTACGCTAAAAATTGTTATCGCGATTAAGAGTGTAAAAGAAAGGCAGTATTATAACTGTCGTTTTCTCTCAGTATCTTAAAATATTAATACATAAGCATTACATTTTAATACAATTATGGACTATTCAGAAAGGAGACATCACAAATCTACAATTATATAATAATTATGTGCTTTAATGCCGGTAAATTGGGAGCTTACTGAAATTTGGTTTTAATATGTTATGAACATTGCACATAACTGAAGTTTTCAAAATGGAACTTATTTCTTTCTCTATTAGGGTTCATTAATTAATAATCGACGAAAATGCCTCTTAAGAATCCGGAAGCTGTATTTGAAATATTTTAATTTTACAATCTCTTCCACTATTAGATAAGTTGGACTACAACAAATCCGGACTATAACACAACAAAGTTGGAGTACCACTCAAAGCATTATAAGCTTAAAAAGAAAAGCGAAAATAAATAGAAACTTATACAGGCAGAACATATATAGCATATAAAAGTCAGACTACCTTTCAAAGATATGAAATAAACACCGACTATCAAGATATATGCAGTAACAACTTGAAAATAAAACAGTTCATGGTATTAGTTCCCAGTGTCTTGAAATGCCACAAACGATGCCTTTTATGAACGTTAATTTACAATTATTGAATGTTGTATTTAATTTTCAATTTCACATTTCGATATCAATTAATGGATTTTGAATAAATTAATGTGTAGGTATAATGGGTCATTTTGAAACCAATAACTTACACAAATAGCGGGACAATGGTTAAACGACTTTTCATAATGATTAGCACATTTACTTCATTATACGAGGGGTGATCAAAAAGTTCGCGAACTAATTGAATTACTTCTTTAAAAGAAATAAAATGAAGTTTCAGTGTTTATTATTTTTTAAAGTAGTCCCCTCCGATTTTAATGCACATCTGCCATTGTTCTGCCCATGCGTGAATCACGTGATCCAGGCAGTCACGTGACATGCTCCGAAGCAGTCTGTTCAGAGAAGCTAAAAGATTTTTCAGAATCTTATATTTCTTACCATGTAAGTTATTTTTTTATAACAAAAACAGTCCATCTGTCAGAAATGGCCAGATCTCGGCAATAGGATGGGTGGATAAGGATATCCATTCCCATAATTAGTATGGTGACCCATCACAACCAGAGTCCTCTGTCTCGGAAGCGTCGTTTATCCAATGTGGATAAAGCATGGGCGCCTTCTTTTTATCATATCTCATATGTTTAAAGTCTAAAGTAAACGATATTTCAGAGATTTAATAATTATATTATTGTTAAGATATACAACCATTTTTCTAATTGTTACTTGACGATGTTTCATAACAAATTGCTCAACTAAGGACACATCTTTTTCCCGGCTTGCTTTTGCTGGGCAACAGAACAAACATCATTTTTAACCGTCTCCCTATCTTTACTTAAACAATCAATCCAATTAATGATTGAACTTCTGGTAAGTCTTTTGTCTTCATAAACCTTGTACAAATTATCATATTCTACTGCAAAGGAATTTCCAAGATATACGTTAAACTTTACAGCCGTTCGTTGCTCGAATACGACTGAGTCAACCATTTTTTGTCACAAGTGACCTACATATTGACGTCATTTTCACATTGTGACGTCACAAACACGGAGCAAAACATTATTTAACATATGTTATTTACAGAACATGTGTATGACTATATGTGTGCCAAATTTCATTCTGATCTGAATTGTGGTTTTGTAAATATAGAGATAGTTCGCGAACTTTTTGATCACCCCTCGTACACGTCATTTTTTTTTTTTATTCTCCAATGATTTCAAATTTTCTTTAAAAAAGAAGAAGAAAAGATATAAAATAATTCTGAAGAATGAATTCACTCAGCGACCTTTGTGATGCGTTAATGTCTATTGCTGACTTCTTTACATAGTGATTGGATGGTTTTATTTCGATTGATTTTTTTTTTGTATTTATTTTGTGTATCGGCAAAAGTGTTTTCAAAACAGAAAAAAAGGTTTCATTGCAACGATGTACATGAATTTTGGTGATGATTTAATTGTGTGAATCACCAAGAATTCAGTGATGTCTGCTGACCTTCTTTCCCGTCTCTGCTTCGACTCAGCAAAGTTTCTCTACTGCAAAGGAAAATAAGCGTTTGTAAAGGTAATTAGGCTTAACCCACTGAATATACACAAATGAAGACAGCAGAATTTTAATTCATCAAAAACTAAAGTTTGAATTTTATCTTTGAAATTGTCTTGATATTTTCATGTAAAATTTCATGTTATACTTCCTATGGGCATCCTTAACCTAGCTGCGAATTGATTGTTGTTTTCTTTCAAGATACAAGAAGTTAGTTGAGCTCTTCTGTCCTTTTTCTATCCATATTGATCTGGAGTGGACATGAGCTCCGCTGCATTTCTCTTTATATTATGTTTTAGATTCTGGTTGTTTCATTTGTAATTCAATGAAATTAATCAACTCTTTGTTAGGTACAGATTTGATCATAATACCTCAAATTGATTAATAATCTTTGACCATTTAGGAATTTATTATGTTTTAAAATCTTTTTTACTTTTCTTTCTAAACAGAGCTGATTCACCTCTACTGTATACTGATTCCGAAAACAATGTATAATTTCTCCAAACCATTACATAGAGCAAGATATGCTTTCAATACAAATCTTACCATGTGCTTTTCTGAAACATGAAATTGACGTAAGAAATTAAAACACAAGCTTTCGAATTGTTCAAATTCAATGCATTTTCTCATTTGACCTTTAAAATACTAATTTTGACGTCATGAATGTGTGAATTTTTCCATTATTTCCTAAAAAAGTTACAGAGGAAATCTATTTCCAAAGGATTTTTCTTTCAGACAAAATATACCGCATGCATTGCAAGAACGTTGTCAAAATAGCTTCAATAATGTCAAGATATCTGAATATCTCTGTGGTGCATATTTGTGTATGGTTATGTGACATGCGTGAAGTGCATAACATAAACAAAGTGAAATGATTTCATAATATTTTCTTTACAATTTATCACAACTTTTCATGGATATACAATAATTTTAAAATTTTGAAGAAACGAGAGAAAGGATAATTCTTATTGAGATAATTCTGTTTTAATATCTATTTTATGCGAGTTAGTACTTTGCGTATTAACTCACTAAGCATTCATGCTGTAGTCATGATTTTTTTGTTAAATAAGTATTGTCCAGGTAATCTTAAAATTCAAATATCAAACAATCAGACTATTCTGCTCAATTTTCTTATGAAAAAAAAATCGATGTTAAAACACTCACGCTCTTCTCAGAATCACTGAAATAATCTTAGAAATGCTATATGCTTTATGTCATGCATACATTATTTTCATGTCTCAGTATTTCATGATGACAACAAAATTGTCCTCATTCAGATAATCCTTGATTTATATATCCGAATTTGATTATGAGGGCAGAAAATGGTCATTGGCATACTACAGCAGTGTTCGTCTTTTATGTATGTTTTGTTTGTTTGTATGTTGTTCGTTTGTTTTATTATCTCTTGAACACATTGAAACCCTTGTACAAGTAATTTGTATGTCGCTTCTTTTCAATTTGAATTTAACTAAATTTATATTTAACCTTTGAATTTTAAATATGGCCAGCTGTCTTCATAGTTATTTTGACAAACATTGAATATGTTGTAAATGTTTTATTAATGCAACAGATTGAATCATATATAAGATTTGTGATTGCTAGCAGTGCTATAACGTTCGCCATTTTTTTTGCTTATAACATCTAGGCGTTAAAGTAAAATTCGATGAACTCAAAACGGGTATAAAATTACATTTAAATCTCTCTGTTTTGTGTCTTACTGTGAGGCCAAAATGTGTAGGTTGATATCAAATGTTTATTTTCACTGTTCTTTAAAATATATAAATTGACCGAAAATCACGGGCAGATTTTGTAAAACACTTACCACAAAGGTACAAAGCATGGGGGTAAGTTAGAATAATAAACCATATGAAGATCTATGAATCTTTTCAAGAAGAGAAGATCATTTTATAAACATTCGAAATTATAATGAAATGGATAATATTTTATCTTCATTTTGTGTTCAAAAACATTGCCAATGAAGACAACTAAGATACAACTAAAATGGAAGCACAATAGTATCTCCTTTAGACAACTGCTTATGCCTAATTTTTTCCCATAGATGATGGCGTTTTATCTAGTCTTGGGAATTGTGCTTCACACGACACGGGGAAACACACAGACCGGAAGTTGTAAAGACATGTTACAGGGTTACCTAACAGGACAACTGTCGTCTGCTCTAGGAGCATATCAGGTAGAAGCTTTGAGGCGGGAATTCAAAAGCTTCACTGACGTCATGGAGACATCTTTGAGAAGGTTTAAGAAGGAAGTGAACGCTAGCATTAAGGTTGAAGGTATTACGTGACCACGTCTACAAGCTGATTTCTGTTTTAAATATTTACCATTCAATGTAATTAAAAAAAAGAAATGAAATGAAAACACTTCACTTAGTAGGTACAGGAAACCGGAACGTTGTATATACAAGATGGGGTAAAAAGACATGTCCTTCCAAAGCAATCTTAGTTTATTCTGGTAAATGAATTCCTTATTTTGAAAGTTTGAATTAAGGATCCTTTTTTCATTAATTTTTTAACTTACTTTTTAAATTCTATTTCTTCGGGTGTTATTATTTCTTAAATGAGGGGTTAATTTCTATGTATATTGTACATACATGTAAATGTATAGCATTCTCTAATAAGTATTGATAATTTATACACTTTAATAAGCTTAAGAACGATTTATAGGATTCGCTGGAGGATCACGTTATAATCATAGAGGAGCAGCAGTAGATCTTTTGTGTTTACCGAAGGATCCAGAGTGGGGGATCTACAAAGATGGAAATAATGGAGATAAAGCTTATGTTTATGGAGCAGAGTACGAAACTAACACCTTCAAGAGTCGCTTTACTTCATTCCATGATCATGACGTACCGTGTGCTGTGTGTCTTGTTAAAAATAGATCCGTTGTGAAGATATTCCCAGGTAAGAAAATTAATATGTTTGATTTATATACAAATACTTTTGTCCTTTAAAGTATCGAAACATATACATTTAAAGTTACATGTTTATTAAGATTTCAGCTTATACATGTATCGGCGAGAGAGAGAGAGAGAGAGAGAGAGAGAGAGAGTTTATATTTAATTGTTAAATTGTTGGCCTCTCCTTGTGCAGAAACGCACAATCTACCACATTTTGGAAATCTTTATTTATCCATGTCTACAAACTTCGAAGACATGTTTTTCTAACTTTCAATGCAATTCTTACGTTTTATCTTAAATTTTTGCCTAAGTGAAAGGCTCAAGTAGGCTATTATATATCGTCTTTCGGCATTATCGTTGTTGTAGTTGTTGTTGTGAACATTTCCTCCAACAACTTAGGGCCAATTTTGATTAAACGTGATACAATGTACCCTAATCTGAAAGAAACTGACGTTTGATTCAAATAGAAGGTGTCACCCGCGTGGCGCAGTGGTTAGAGCATCTGCTCTGAAGTCGGAGCGAATCCACTGCCAAGGAGACCGTATAAACCGAGGTCCGGTGTCGCAGTAGGTGTTGGCAGGAAAAAGATTCCTCAGTGCTTAATTTTCTTGAGTTCCGAGTATAGGTATAAATTTGCAGGCCTCCACCGACAAGTGGTGGTGTCTCCATATTAGTGATATATTTTCAAGAGGGACGTTAAACAACAAACAAACAAACAAATAGAAGGTTATGTCCCCTATAAGATGATATAAAAAAGAGAATGCAAAAATAAGATGGAATCATTTAAAATCTACTTTGCGAGAACCACTGGGCCAGGAAAAATGAAACCTATATGTAAAATCTGCGCTATAATGTATTTTTTTTTTCAAATGGTGTAAAATATATTATAAACAATAAGTGTGAAAGGTAAAGATAACAAACAGCAATCATGCTAAAATGTCCAATTTAACAATACAAATTGTGAGTAGAGCAAACACGGATATCTAAAAACACAGTGGAATCAGATGTCATGAAGTACCGGTATCAAAATTTTACCGTAGAAATTGTAAATTAAACGTACTTAATTTTAGCAGTAATGATATTTTAGCGTCTTTTGGACTGGTTTATAATCATTAATTCATGTACCTGTTAATATATGCTATTAACTATTACATGTAGTTTACAAGACTCAAGGAGGTTGGATCCTGCTATCAAATGAATGAGTATTTTTTATCAAGTATATTTTCAGAATCTACACAGATGGTTTAATTAAAAATCAAAAAAAAAATAAATTGCGGTCAATGCGCTTCTTCCGACGCTACCGAGCATTTAGCATGACCTTTATGCACTGCAATTACGTACAACACAAAATCAATTTTTCAAAGATTTTCCCCCAATATTTTTTTTTTCAAATAAATTTTTGGAAAAGCACAGTCGTATTTCGTCTTAAATAGACAGATTAAATTTGTGACAACAAAAAAGATTCAAATTCACATTATATATATGCTATATTTGTCAAATTTGATGATAGAATTCATGATAGTTTATTGAATATATATAACTTAGGACCAGCATAAACAGTTCACGGCACAAAATAACCCCGTGTGCATGCAAAACGGAAAAATAAGAATCCAACTTAACAATACTTTAGATACTTCGGAGTAGAAAAAATGATGACTTTTTTTCTAAAAAAGAAAAAAAAAATTCCGCCACAAAATATTGTTCCTCACTTAATGCTTTTTGTATGGAAGTTAATCATGAAGTTTTAACTAAATATAGTTCAATTTGCATTATAGAATCCAAATTTATTGTAAGAATTTAAAAATTTTGCAAAATGTTTTAAATAGAGGTCAAAACAAAATCTGCTCAAAAGTGTGCTAAATATGATTGCGCTTATCAGTTGAAAAGGAAGAGGAAGATTTCGTTAAATTTTGAGTGCACTAATTTATAAACTTATACAGAATATGGAGTAAACTATTTCAAAAATAAGATGATAATTACAATCACATAAATATGCAAGCATCCTCGGACATTAGAGATTCTTTTTTTTCAAATTATCGTCCAGAAAGGTAGGACCACAATAAGGAATCAAATTTTCACACTGGAATGAAAAAGGTGAAGATAACGAACAGTGATTGATCTCAAAAAAATCTATAAACAATACAATTCTGAGAAGAGGGCATAAAACACGGACCCCTGGAAATTCCAGAGCTTGGATCAGGTGTCTAGGAGGAATCATCCCCTGTTGACCGGTCACACCCTCCATGAGCCCTAAGTATTATAATTTCCCTAGATTTTACGAAATACTGATTTTAAGCGAGGTTATTGAAATTCCTGTATCATCAACTTATCTGTCAGTAACCTGACTCACTTTTGAAAAATGATAGTAGTCGGAGCAAGCTCTTGAGTATCGAGTAAGTTGGGAGATGTAAACACCATATGTGATAGCGGGATATTACTACATGAATAAGGAAAGTTGACGATGGAAAAGTTGAAGTCATCTTTTTTTTCTTAAAAGACCCTGAGTTGTCATACAAGTACGCAGTCATCCTTAGAATGATGCAGATTCATTTTTTTCTGAATGCTTTACCCTAGTGATTCAGGGGGGTTCCCAATTGCAATAGAGGGTACAATTTTACTCCATATTTGAATATGAGTAAAACATTTAACGAATCCTCTTAAAGTAATACATGAAATATGATCAGATTTTCTTTTCAGAAACATGATTAGTTTTATGATTACGAAACAATCCCTAGGAAATACATTTAAAGTTTGTTATTTGTTTTACCTCTGAGGAATAAAATAAGGGCACAATAGGGATTCAAAATCATACATGGGGAAATAAAGAAAATAATTGTCTCTAGAGCCTCTAAATTAAGGTCAAACACAGTTATCTGTAAGCAATTTAGAGTGGTGGAAATTCTAGTTTACATTTTCAATCATTACGCAAGAGATTAAAGAAGGGCCATGGAGAATAAACACATATTTAGGAGCAAAACAATCTTCTTCTCAAGAGAAGTAGGGCAATGATTTGTCAAAATACAAATATTTTTCTCTAGAACAATTGGACCATGATGTCATATAATTATGCAATCATCAGGTTGTGCTGATTCAAGTTTCTTCAAATCATGGCGGAGATGGGGGGTAGGGTATTAATACAATAAGAGATCGACGTTTTACAACAGAAAAAAATATAAAGTTTTACATTTCATAAAAAGAAAAGGGTTATGTTAAGTAATAATGATTAAATGTCTTTCAGAAAAAGAGGGGGAAAGTAAAGATTGTTTGGTTTTATTCTTGTACTCTTTCTTTTAAAATCTTATTCCGGTCTCTCATAATATCGCCGAGTTGTCCCTAACAAAAAATACTGTAATATCTATAGTTAACTATAGTTTACTCTAGTTAACTATAGTAGTTAACTATAGTTTACTTTTTGATAAGAAATTCGGGTTGTATGTATATTGTCTAGATCACGGAGACTTGCTTTACAACGGTGGCGTCCTGTGATTTAGAGCTTGCTCGATTGCAGCATTTCAATATTAAGTACGCTAGAAATTTAAGAGTTTTAATTGTACCAGAAAAAATATAACATGTACTCAAAAGGTTCAGATACTTAAAAAAAACATCAAAAATATTGATTAATCGGTTATAAATATTGTAAGCGGTTACAATCTTTCCGACTGATTAGTCTGTTAACCGTTGTCATCCCTAATCTAAAACCATTTTAGATAGTGAAGTATTGCAATGTGATGTGAGTCATAGTCTCTTTATATTTTCTCTAGAACAACAAGAACCTGATTAGTCATTTTAATATGCAATCATTACTAGGTAGTATAGGATTCAAGTTATTTTTTTAATTAGCCCCTGGAGAATAATGTAGGAAGCCACAAAAGAGGAAAAATTGTGCATGAAAACAGAGAGGATTTTTTTTTTTTTTTTTTTTTTTTTTGGTAAAATTTTCTTTTAGAATCACTTGGCCATTATCAGTCATATTAATATGCATGGATTCCTGTATTTTAGATTTATAATTCTTCAAATCATAGTCTCCGGGAATAGGAAATGGATTTAAATAGGGATTAAAGTTTTACATAAGAATATTAAGAAATAAAAAAGAACTTTTAAAAAAAATAAAAAAAAAAAAAGTAACAAGAAATAAAAAAGAAATCTTAAAATTTTCTGCTGAAAAATAGCATGGTGATTTTTCACTCAGATGGCTGTTGTGGCTCAAGGACTCTTACTCTTTATGTGGCATGATAATTAAATCTGATTGCATGTATGTCTATAAATTGATCTATAGAGTCTTTCTCTGTTTTATAGTGTATTTCTGTAATTTAATATGAGCAGAAAAAATTACAGCACGTCAATAAACATTCCCTCCTGTGGAATACTTTTCATAAAAAGAAAGAATTTTTGTTTAACTCAGAATGTCCAGACAATAAGAACATATCTAATCTTTAAAAGAAAATGTGACAATACATATAATTATTGTCTTTAAGAGTAATTTTAAATTATAGTAAAGTATTTATATCCTTAAAGGTGCTTAGACACAGATTTGAACTTAATATTTTCTGAAATTTTCTGTATAATATCACGACTTATATTTTGCTATAGCATTTCAAACGAAAATATAATTAAAAACTTATTTTATCTGGAAATTATTGGAACTACGAATTCCGGGACGCGTTTGATTAACACATCTTTGCACTTACACAAATTTTAACTTTATTCTTAATATTTAAGAAAAGAAGCGATTTTGTTACGTATTAATGAAAAATATTACATCTATAATCCAGAAAATTCAGAGTAAAAATGTTCGAAAGCAAAACCAACTCACCAGTATTGTCAGTCCGTGCTCTGTAATGTGTATAGAGTTTACCAAATTGAACACACCCGTGAAGCGTAAACTGTTTTTTGTAAACAGGGCACGAGCTCTGTTATTGTTAATGTTTACGATTCACCGGGTGTGTTCAATAGTTAAACTCTGCACACACCACTGAGCACGGACTTACAATACTGTGAGTGGGTTTTGCTTTTGAACATTTCTACTCTGAATTTTCTGGGTTATAGTTTTAATATTTTTCATTAATACACAACAAAATGTCCACTTTTCTTAAGTATAAAGAATAAAATTAAAATATGTGAAAGCGCAAGGATGTGTCAATCCAACGCGTCCAGAAATTCGAAGTTTTAATAACTTCAAGATGAAATAAGATTTGTATTATATTTTAGTATGAAATGATATAGCAACATACAAGTCACGAAATTATACAGAAAATTTGAGAAAATATTAACTTCAAATCTGTGTCCAAGCACCTTTAAGCTATTGAACATGGATCGGGTTTTAATGTACCGGTAGACAAGTTATATTTTGCATTCTAGAAAGCCTTTTATATTTTTCCCTGAAGGATCTTCCAATTTTGGGAAAAAAACATAATATTTTGATTATATTCTATTAAAGCAAGAAAAACCTGTTACAAAGGCTGGGAACTCGAGTACCAAGGTTACCTTATGGCTGGATACTATAATAATCCTGCTGGTACAACATACAAGTGTGTTGACAAAGATCCAGACACCTTGCATGGCGGCCATTCTGATAAAAATGGTTATCTTTTTTATTTTGTAGAAGCTCAATGTGGTTCATTAAAATGTCCACCATATGTTCATGGAAGAGAACTAGTTTGTGCTGTTTGTTCCAAAAAATAAAAAAAATTATTTATTAAAGCTGAGTGCTTTGATTTATAGCTTTATTAGATTAACATTCATTAAAAATTGTATTTGGGCTCTTGTGTTTTTGAAAATCACAAATATCTTAATATATCTTTAGAATTGTTATGCATATTGGGCTGTCATTAATACACTACAATTTGATATACTTGCACTGGAGTTCGCGCGTATATTTAGGAATCTACAGTAATTCTTCGTAGCTAATGTGAAGGCAAAAAGTGTTTATGCCTCATGTGCAATGCTGCGATTGGAAAAAAAACAACTACAATCTGTATTATCATACATTGAAAAACCTCGTTTTCATTTAATCATTTGAGAACTATTTCTGTAGAAATCATTGTTCTAAAATAAATATAGAATCTAATGGGCTGATGTAAAGATGAATATTGCCCCCCTTCCTTAGAATATTTACCAGGGGTGATTTTTTGACGTCAGAGACCCTCACGGTTGCTCAGTCGGGGGAGCGCTCTCTCCATGATCGGAAGGTCGTGTGTTTGAATCAGACCTAAGTCGATAAAAATAAGTAGCAACTGTTCTCTCGCCAAGCGATCGGAACTTTGAAGTGAAACTTGTGTGTCCTTCGGATGAGACCTTAAAAACCGAGGCCCCGTATAACGGTAGGCGTTGGTACGATAAAGAATCCTCACTGCTCAATGGCCCTGATTGCCGAGTAAAAGTCTAAATTTAAAGCCCTCCACCGGCAAGTGGTGGCGTTCCATATGAGTGAAACATTTTCGAGAGGTATATGGTGACATCTCAATATAAGTGAAAAATTCTCGAATGGGCCGTTAAACAAAATACAATCAATTGACGTCAGAAATGACCTTCGCTCCCATTCCGGCGTCCATAGTGAAATCGTTTTTAAACACTTTTGTCAAAGAACATACACATGCGCAAAAAATTTAAATATCATCATTTCTTTTTATTGGGGGGATGTCAAATATCATTCATATCGCCTTTGAACGATGATAATATGTATATAAAGAAAATGTTACATATTTTGAACTAAGGCATGTTATTTTAGCATGACACTCTAACAGGTACGTCGGAATGCAGATTTTTAGAACTGAAATTCAAAGCCCACACAGGGCTGTTTGGAATCGTTGGAATGTAAACAATGGCACCGCAAAGCGGAGCAATCCCTCGCAAAAGAGCGAATCCATCCCAATATGAATTGTTACATATATGTCTTTATAATATTGAAATTTGTTTATGACCTCCACGCAGTACACATTATGTGGATTTATCACATGACTGTTAAATCAGATGACCAAACTAAATTCAATACAGAGTAAGATAAAGTACAATGTTATTGTAATTAATATTAAGTCTTCTGATAATGTAATAGTTTTATAAAAAGAAGTTCGTTTTTAAAAAAAGTGTCTATTTGTACACTTCTGAATGCCGTTGATTTCTTCGCAGTTCGCCTTTACAGTGTTGCGTTCTAAGTAGACTGCAGATCTTTGCTCCTGTTTAGAAAGAACGCCACGTAATCGTATGGACTGTGCAGCGTTTGCAGAAATATCTATAAGCTAAGGAATTTTTATAGAGACAAACAGTAGAACTTGACAGTGGTTAAAGAAAATGAGATCAAAGAACCCAGGGCTATAAAGATGAAGCTTAATTTTATAGGAGTAGAACCACATGGAGACATATCCCTGAAAAAGACAATGGCGGATCTCTTGTCCGGGTGAACATAGGAGTCTCACAGCTTCATCTGTGATTTAATTACAACTGACATCGGTAAATAAATTAGGGTGTATGTGGTAAAGTTGAATCAATTTTGTTTACTTTTGATTTCAGTGGGATTGTTCGGTTTTTGTTTTGACCATATTGGGTTATCGTACAAGTATGTTTGATGTAAGCAAGTTTTAGAATGAGTATATGAGTGACCGGTTAGGCCAGACTAGGGAGCGGTAACAACATCAGTTGGATGCCACGTTCTTACTTTTCCTAGAGGTTCTAGTTTTGGCATATATTTGTTATAAAAATTGTTAAATCGGACAGGCAATTGAATAAGGAAGGATTGTTTGATGGGCACAAATATTTTCCCTTACTCATTAGATAGTGGGGCAGATATTTAAAAAAATATTTCACTTTGTGAGACAAGCACCAAATTTGGCAAGAAGATTTCTTGTCTAGTACTTGAATATGAAATATCGTGGCCATTCTAGTTTCGCCCATTTTCAAAATGACCACCATTATTTTCAAATTTTTTGCCAATTGTTTTAGTAACATCAATTCTTTCATTTTATTTAAGATCTTTTTTGCTAGGATATCAACACTTGTGTTTTTGAAAATGTCTTTGCCAGTATTCCATTCATTTATCGAGGTCTTCTGAGGTAAAGGGAATTTGAATTCGATTTTTAGTTGAGGTGGAATTTTTCTTCATATTCGTGTTTGTCTTTCAGGTTTTCAATATTGCACTCAATATACGCTTATTTTCCTTCATTCTGAGTTTGGTAGTCTTATTTTCAATTTGCCAATCAGTAGATAGTGGTCTGAGTTTAATTAATTAATTTCTCTTTCATCTCAGTCATACAAAATCCAAATATTTGTTTACTACACGTACTATATAAAGCAATACACAATCTTTTCTTTATTGGTTTTAAATTTTCGTCTCCATTAAGAAGTAAGAAGTCTTTTTATGCATAATCTTGAGATTTTACAGATATTTGATATTTAACAAAGAGAGTTTCTAACAGTTAAATGATATCAATTATGCACCAAATATATACACGTTTTTCTCCGTTAAATACAATCTAGCTTTTTCCTCCTATTCTTGCTTGCTCCGATTTGGATATATATTATTTTCATTCACAAAAGAAAATGTAGTTTGACATTGAAATAACATTCTATCTTTAAGTTTACAAAAATATTTCTAGTATTCCTTTCTGTCTGAAATGTTACGAAATTTTCAAAATAGGAACTGTTATATCATATCTTTTAAAAACAAGCATTTTTCATTAAACATTTCTCATAACCATGCAGTGTAAGTTTTCAACATTTTCTAAGGTTTTGCACTATGCTTGAAATGGATTGAGTGTAACAAAACAGTTTCCTGATATTTTGTACTTAACATTTTTATCGATTTTCAGAGACACACAAATATTATGAGCATTGAAGAGATTGGGGAAAGGATAATTTTCAAGATAGGGTTTTTTTTTCTACGTAAAGAAGTGCTACACCCTGGATTTGCAGAGGATAAACTGAAGCAAATAAAAAATTCAAATATGGATATAGAGTTTTGGTCTCTATTTCTTCAAAATGTGTACAGAAGATTCTTTTTATATGAAATAAAAACCGCACTGTAATCATGATTTTATGAGGGTTGTACACGCCAGTAATTTCGGCATAAAATTTAACATATTCTATATTTTATTTGTTTGTTTGTTTGTTGTTTAACGTCCCTCTTCAGAATTTTTCACTCACATGGAGACGCCACCACTTGCCGATGGGGGGGGGGGGGGGTTGCAAATTTATATCTATACTCGGCACTCAGGGCCATTGAGCAGTGAGGGATCCTTTTCGTGCCAAAACCTACTGCGACACGGGACCTCGGTTTATGGTGGCAGAGGATAGTTTCGGATTAAGTACCGGTCAAAAGTATTTTAAAAAATAGAGAAACCTAAGGTTTGAATGCATATTATATGTGATTTTATTGCTAGAATATTTTATTTGTGCATTTGGAGGGAAAAGGTGACCTTGTTTATTTTATTGATATATGACACTTTAGTGTCACTACTACTATTCGTAGGATACGGACTAGAAATACGAAACTAAACTAAAAAATCACTCATCTAGGATTTCCTCAGAAAAGCGGGGTGGGTTCGTAGGATGAATTTTAGCTTGAAAATGAGGTGGTTGAGCCAGTATCTCTTGCTGTTCAGTGGTATGTGCAGGTGTTTGTCTGCATTTTGTGTGGTAGTGTGGGGCATTAGCACGGGCCTGGATGCTGTTGCGGATCAGGCGAAATAGTGAAAATAAGCTAAATTTTCATGAAATTTTGAGATTGTCCCTGTGCCATCATTTGGGCTCAATGTGTAAGTTGTACGTGTTTTATTCCTAAAAGCTTCAAGTCGACCGCGTGGCGTAGTGGTTAGAGCGTCTGCTCTAGAGTTGCGAGGTAAGTAGTTGATCCTTACGTCGCGGGTTCAAATCCCACGGTGGGACGTGGAGACCAGTCCATCGGATGAGACCGTATAAACCGAGGTCTAGTGTCGCAGAAGGTGTTGGCACTAAAAAGACCCCTCATTGCTCAATGGACGTAAGTGCCGAGGATAGGACAAAATTTACAGCTCTCCACCGGCAAGTGGTGGCGTCTCCATATGAGTGAAAAATTCTCGAGAGGGACGTTAAACAACATACAAACAAAAATAAAAGCTTCAAATTCATCAAGGGACTAGACCATACTATTGTTACATGTAGAGAGAATTTAAAATTTTCCAATGCATATTTTAGAAGCAGCTCAATATTAAGGAAAACGTCAGCTATACATTTGATTGCCAAGAAAACTGACCTTTGCCACCTATACGATCTCATCCGAAGGACCGGTCCCCACGTCCCGGAGTGGATTCGAACCCGCGACGTAAGTATCAGTTCTTTACTCCGCGACTCTAGAGCAGACGCTCTAACCACAGCGACACGCGGGCTACGTTTTACATTTTAATATTTAAAGATACTTATTCTTTTATGTCATTAACAAAGAATTAATTTTATTAGATTTAGAAAAGGGAAAAAAGCACCAGGGTAAACAATTATATTCATATCTATGTATATTATAACCACTCTAATTAGTCGAAGAATAATAACATTTCAGATGCATGATGTTATCTGTCCGATAAACTATAGACTTCAATAGATCTTTGATAAAAATTGATTCAATATATGCCTACTTTTTAGCAGAACCTTATTTTTAAACTACAGAGACTTGTTACATGTATATAAGATGAGGGGTTTCTTTTTAAGTAAATTATATCAAACAAGTCTTCTGCAAAAAAGACATCTTTGTAGCATTTAGTTTTTTAAGTACTGTAGATTCCTAAATATACGCGAGGAATTAATTATCCCGTCATTTTGGGAGAAGCACCATTCGCGAAAAAAAGCTACTCGCTTTTATTCTTATTGTGCTTAAATCAATGTAAAATCTCTTGATCAACCGTCCTCTTGCGAATTATTGTTCTCGCGATTTGACGTTAAATAGCCATTTTGCAATACAAATTACTTGCGAAAAAATGTGGAAACTACATTAATATTTTTAAACGTTTTTCAAGTTGATTTGACAACCCCAACTTCTCTGCTTGGTGAAACCGTTTTCTTCAAGACTAGTTTACTCTGATTTTATTTTTATAAAGAAGTTCTCTGGGTAACACTCATGTTATAGCCGTGATTTGTTTGTAAATGTATTCTGTTTCCAAAGAGTTCTCAAATATTAAATATCACTCCTGTATGATCTTGATATCAACTTGTAGAACAATGGACATCACCTTTTCCATGAAATCATTGAATTGAGTAGTTATAGATCATTTTTATGTCATTTATGTATCTTTATTATAATTTTCCCAAATAACCGATTGAAAATTGGACGATTTTATGATGACAATATTGCATGTATTCTTAAGAACAACAATTTACTTTAAAATACAAATTTTATATTTACACGAAAACGAGCCATTGACATATCTTTCTTTCTCATCTTCAGGTTTCAATAATTATTAGTTTCACAACAATTTTTTTTAAATTTTCTTCAATTTCTAACCTAGAGTAAGCTAATTAATTTATCAATTGACTCTTAAATATGATCGAACTTCATAGCTATTTAGGCAAAATTAAAATATTTATTAAAGGGTTTATAATGGAACAGTTTACATCATATGTATCACTAAACGCTAACATCGCTGAAGTATTCGCCATCAGTACTATGTGTATCTTCTGTTATACCGAGTACAATTCGATAGACCAATATACAGGTGTCAAATCGATAGACCAATATACAGGTGTCAAATCGATAGACCAATATACAGGTGTCAAATCGATAGACCAATATACAGGTGTCAAATCGATAGACCAATATACAGGTGTCAAATTACGTTTAAATCTATCTTCTTCGTGTCTAGTTATGAGGTCATTTTGGGTGGTTTGCTATCAGATTGTAAAATTTTCTATTCTATGCGTGAATATAAATATGTTCACTGACCAAAAAATCACACCTTCCACTGATCTAGGAAGCGTTCATCACAAAGGTAGGATATAAAGATAGACTTCCCTATAGATCATGATCTAGGCATTTAATCTCCCATTTTATAAATATAAGAAATGTTTCTGAAATGTATGCAATTTTCTATTGTTATTATTTTATATTTATATTGATTGTCAATGAACAACACTAGGCTAAGATTTCGTTTCGACAATTGTTCGTCTCAATCTTTCCCCAGGCAATGGAGTTTTATCTAGCCCTGGTTCTGCTACTTCATACGGCACAGGGAGAGACACACACAGAAAGTTGTAAAGAAATATTACAAGGGTATCTAACAGGACAACTGTCGTCTGCTCTAGGAGCACATCAAGTAGAAGTTTTAAGACGGGAATTCAAAAGTTTCACTGACGTCATTGAGACATCGATGAAGAAGTTCAAAACGCAGGTGAACGCTACCATACAGAATGAATTGACTCAAGGTATAATGTGACCATATATTTACTACACACGTTGTTTTGAAATTTATCATGAAATTTTAATTATAAATTTTTTTAAATTTAATAGTTAGAGGAAACAGAAACGTTGTATATACGAGATGGGGAAAGCCAATTTGTCCCTCCAACGCAAAATTAGTTTATTCGGGTAATTAAATTCTTTGTTTTGAAAGTTTGAATAATCATATTTTCATTTAAGTTTTTGACATGTTTTAAGGTATGACACTTGTCAGCTATTAAGAAAAGTTTAATACGAACCTCTAACTTCAAAATGATTTATTAGTAATTATCAAAATTCAATTTTTAAAACATATTTGAATTAAACAATGCAGATTATACAACATTTAAAATATAATATACTAACAAAGTCATAAGGAAACAATATTTATGAGGGACTATTTCTTGTGGTGCAAGGTTATTTGGAAGAAAATTCTTCAAATCTGCACATTTGTTAAATTCATTATCTTGGAACTTTAGCCCCACATATTTTTACTCAGAAAATATTTTCCTTACTATATGCTTTGAATAATAAATATAGGTTACAAGAACTACGCACGCTAACTCTCGATTCCCGCCTACATTTTACATCCATTTAATTCAATACTTTTGGCAACTTGGCCATAAAATCTTTGTTGAATGCAAAGAAGATGTTAATTAATTAATAATTTCAATACCAGTGTTAAAAAGTTAATTACTCTTAATTCCAGCTCTTTTTATAAGGGGGTAGACGATGTTTTCCATTGAAATCAGACTTGAAAGCATCAGCATATTTTAAAATATTCTTGGACATGAATAAATGTTCTTTAAATCTTTTCTTATGTTTTACGCATATAAAATTAAACATATGTAATTGAAAAAATACAACGTTTGAGCTGTAAACACCTTCGAAATTGGTGAAAAAATGAGAATTTTTGTCGTTTTTTGTCTGTAAACATATGTTCCCTCCCGTAAAACACAAAAAGCTTTGATAAGAATTTGTGAAATAACAATCCATATTACCTGTAAAAAGGAATGTTTTAAAAATATTTTCCGTTTTCCGTCGATCTCTATAGTGAAAAACACAACTTTTACCAAAATTATAGAGTTATTTCTCTTTGTTTTCCTAAATAAGTAATGTTTTATGAAAATTCATATAAATATCTATATAAATATGAAAAATCTTTTAAATATGTTAACTTTTGAAAATTTACTTGGAGGTAGGCGGGAGAACAATACTATCGTTCGCAGTTCTTTATAGTTTTAGAACTAATTGTAAACTTTCACTCAGCAGACTTTGCCAAAATATGAAATTATATTAAAGAAAGAAAGATAAAATTTACACTGTTTTTGAATGAAAATCACATATTTTGACCAATATCTTAAAATTTACATCACTGACGCAAACTTCTTTTCTTTCGTTATTTTAAACTACACGATACTTCCAACCGATCAGCAATTAAGTCATGAAAAGTTTGAGGTTATATCTATTGTCATGATAACATCTAATAAAATATGATAAAGATTAAATTGATAAACCTAGCTAAGAGTCACTGACCCCCCAATTTTCTTTGCGATTTTGAGTCATGCCATTTGGGTACTTATAAAAAATATACATTCAAAAAACCTTGATATAATACCTTATTTCACGAGTGACATACCTTAAAATTTTATTTATTCAGGAATGCTATGCTTATAGACTGAGCGCTTAATTTCTATGCAGATTGTGCATGCATGTCGTAGAAAAAGAAACATTTTAAAATAAAGATTACACATTACTAAATAAATAGAGCAATGCATAGGTTTCGCCGGGGGATCACATTATAATTCTAAAGGAGCGGCTGTAGACCCTCTTTGTTTACCGAAGGATCCAGAGTGGGGGAACTACATTGATGGAAAAGATGGGGCTAAGGCTTATGTATATGGAGCAGAGTACGAAACGAGTACCTTCACTAGTCGCTATGCATCATTAAATCACCATGATGTGCCATGTGCTGTTTGCCTTGTTCAAAACAGATCCATTGTGAAAGTATTTCCTGGTGAGAAAATGAAAATGGATAATTTTGATTTACATTTCATATTGTGAGTATTGATTGCCATACATGTATGTACGTTTTCTTTTTCGTCATAGTTTCAAAACATATACCTTTTATTAAGTTATATTTATGATCCTCATATTACCCTATAAGAATTATTCCAATTACAGCTTTTTTTCGTTCCCAGAATTTAATGGAGTTTTATTTACATGTATTTTTATATATCCTAATGATTGAATTGGACTACACCTGCATATAGTAAATTGTGCTTATTTTCCCCCAAATAATTCTTCCATTTTTTTTATTTCAGCAATTATTAATAAAATTTTTAATGAAAATATTTTTAGCAAGAAAAAACTGTTACAAAGGCTGGAATCTCGAGTACCAGGGTTACCTAATGGCTGGATATAATAATCACCAGGCTGGTACAACATACAAGTGTATGGACAAGAATCCTGACACCTTACCTGGCGGCCATTCTATAAAATATGGCTCCCTTTTTTATTTTGTAGAAGGTCGCTGTGGTTCATTGAAATGTCCACCATATGTTGAGGGAAGAGAACTAGTTTGCGCTGTTTGTTCTAAAAAATAAAGAATAAAAATATTTCTGAGTTCTTCTCTTGATAATGTCTGTAGATAAACATAATTGAAAAAAAAAATGTCTCCACCCTTATATTATATTTTGGCCATGTAACAGTTTACATGTGCTGAAAAATGTCTGTGGAAATTTTATATATAATGCAGAATATAATGGACTTTCCTCAAAACACTACAATAGAATAAAATGGAAAGAAGTCAAAAGCGTAAATATACTTGGATATTGCAAGGTCGTTTTTATAAAGTTTTAAAATTTTGGTTTTGTTGAGAAGAATTATAGACATTCCTACTGTATGATACAATCATTTATTTTTATTTGTTCCGGTAAAATGATATAATATATAATATGATTGTTAATAGTAAGTTTCATATATATAACAATCCACTGAGAGAAAAACAGTAACTTCAAATAAATCACTGTGTACAAGCTGGTGACTGTAATATACATAACGGTCATCAAGATATGTCAGCCGACCTGATTGGTTAAATTTTTTATCTCACAATTTCAAACATTTGTCAATTTATCTGCGTTACCCTACGATGATGGGTAGGTATCTTGTGATTGGTCATCAACAATTTTTTTTATTCTTCACAAAAGTACTCTGAAGTTGATATTTATAAAAAGGATGCTGGAGTTCCTTATTCACAACATATATATAGTCTTTTGGATCGGATCCACAAATGAAGAAAATTGTTCAATTCTAGCTAATTATCATCATAAAGGGTAACAATAATTCAATGCACTATGAATATATCAAGATGGAGAAAGCTTAAGTTTATAAAATAATATCTAGAGGAGGAGGCAACTTGTGTCCTGGCTGGTCGTTCGCGTTCAAAAAAAAAATGAAATTGAAAACAACAATGGTATAAGAGTTTATCTTAACCCAAACACAATATCACGTACAATATATTTCAATAAATGTAAACTGGAAGAGAGTTTATTTAATAAAATAAAATCTCTATATATTGATACTAATTTAATTTACATGAACTTGAGTCAGAAATTAATTATCAGCTAAAATGGCCGGAGTAGGGGATAAGCAATTCCATACATCTATATTGTTATTGCGCACAATCTTACTTATATACTTATTAACTTATGAAGAAGCTTTATCATAAGATGGAAAAAGGAATGCATATGTAATTCTATTAAGTAAACATTTAAGCTAAGGTTTTCATGCCATATTTGCAATGTTAGGAGGCGAAACATTCCTTATTTGATTATTTGAAGAATATTCTTATATTAAATCATATTGTTTTATGTCATAGTTTCTAAATAAGCATTTCGTAGCAAAAATATTATTCATTTCTTTACAATACAATAAAGAGTTCTCTTTAGTGCAGGATCATTTGAAACTGATAGAAACTTGATATTTACGTTAAGGGACCAGTAAATGGTATCAAATATGCACTTGTGTTTCTCTACAGACGTAGATGACAGCATTATACAAATTCATTTTCCTCAGTCTTATCTGTTTTGTTTTAAGGTAATTGAACTTTCCTTACTTCATCTTATTAAATTCTTCTGAATAGTTTATCCCCCTCCCCATGTTTTAGACAAAAGTAAGCTAAACCTAATCAACTTTTGCTTTGAAGTCTCTAAAATTCCTTTTTGAAAGTTTTGAGGCAGAAATTATAAAACAGTGGCTTTGAAATTAAACATTGCTACTATTTAATGATTGGCTAATATTGCTATTAGACGTTTCTGCTATTGCAGAAGAACGAAGGCAAAATGATTCTGACAACACAATCGGCTGTAGAGAATTTAAACGTGTGTTACAGATTTTGTTAGGACAGTATTGTGTAAAGTTTTGCAACATGCCAGGAAAGAAAGGGATTGGATAAAGGAATTAAAATATCATGACATTTTCTCATGTTTTGGTTAAGATTTATACAGATTTCTCATGAATAAAAAACAATATGTTTATAATGTATAGGAAAGACATTAAAAACTCTAATTTTATTTCTTTACAAATAAAAACTTTACGTCCTGACACAGTTAGCACTCGTGTTATATTAACTTCTTAAATATTCACTGTGCAAAAAAAACTCTCAAAATCAGTATCACATCACTCTGCTCTTGAAATTTCTTATAAAATAATTTACTTACATTAAAATACCTTAGCCTTTCCCAAGCATCATTGAAATCAGAACTTATCGTTATGGCCAGACGTATTTGTACCATTGTGACCGAGCCTACCCTACGCTTGAAAAGACTCCAAGAATTAAAACAACACCTAAGGCGACAAAACTATCCAATAAACCTTATTGAGGACGGAATCAATCGGGCAAAAGACATACCAATAACCCAATTAAGAAAGGGTCGCCATCCAGAGGAAAACGATGAAGAGAACATCCCATATGTGATAACTCATAACCCACGTAACCACAATATTCTCAATTCGTCAAAACGATTTTTTCCAATATTAGAACAATCTGAAAACATGAAAAATCTTCTGGACAAATCGTCAATAATTAACAGCAGAAGACAAGCACCATACCTAAGGCGGATTCTAACCAAAGCGAAATTTTCCTCTAGCAACCAGAGAGTCGTCAAAAAGTGTGGTGTCACCCCCGATGTGGAACGTGTGATTTCATTCAAGAGGGCGAACAGATTAAACTTAAAAACGGGAAAGCTTTATAACCAAACACGAGTATGAATTGTAAATCTTCTAATTTGATTTACTGTGCAATATGCCCTACCTGTGGAGAGTATTATATAGGGCAGACAAATCAACTCAATGCACGAGTTAGGGTTCACAAACAACATATGAGGGACGAAACTGTCAGATGCACCCCATGTTCAAAACATTTCGCTGAGTGTGGTAAAGGAAAATTAAAAGTATATGTTTTTCCTCGCCTGTCCGTCTGTCTGTCCCTCCATCTATCTCTCCAACTAACTAGTTTTTCGCATTTTTTTAAAGGCTTCTAGATATTGAGCTGATTTTTGCGTATATGAGTGTTCATTTATGGGATACAGATAAAGTTTGCATTTCGTACCGCTTTGATGATTTTTTTTGTCTGTTTGTTTGATTTTGTTTTCGTGCTTACACCTACTGAGACATAGGACATCGGTTTATATGGTCTCATTCGAAGGACAAGTCTCTACGTCCAATAATGGTATTCGAATCTTGATGATTTTAATTTTTTTAATGGGAACCATTTTTACACTTTTTTATATTCTATGAAGCCTTATTGTCGCAGTGATTAGAGCGTCTGCTCTAGAGTCGCGGAGTAAGGAGTTGATCCTTACGTCTCAGGTTTGAATCCCACTGTGGGACATGGAGACCGGTCCTTCGGATGAGACCGTATAAACCGATGTCCCTTGTCGCAGTAGGTGCTGGCACGAAAAAGACCCCTCACTTCTCAATGGCCCTGAGTGCCGAGTATAGGTCAAAAATTTGCAGTTCTCCACCGGCAAGTCCATATGAGTGAAAAATTCTCGAGAGTAAGGTTATACAACAAACAAACAAGCATGAAGCCATATTCATTCAAAAAAAATTCTACATGAGAAGAAAAAATTTGCTGTGGCCTTTAACCCGACATTATATATATCGACGACGTGTTATCCATTAACAATAGTTACTTCCATTAGGGATGTCAAAATATTTATTTTCTTTAGTCGAATAGTCGATTGCATTATTCGAACGATAGTCGAATATATTCGAAACTAAAATTTTATTTCAAACTTCACTGGTACATCACATATTTAACCCCCCCTTTTTTTAAATTTATTAAAAAGTTACATCAAATGTTACACACAGATGTTCACATGGACCTAAAATGTGGATGGCGTGTTTTTATTTACTTAATATAGACCGCTAATTTCTCCAAAATGTATGATTTCTCCGTCAATCATGTTCATAAATCGGTCTGTTAGGTCGGTTTTTTAGGAAGCATAAAAAAATGACTGTGCGATATATCTTTTTAAAGCTTATTAAAAAGTCAGCAGTTTTTAATGAGGAAAATTATCTTATCGACTGTGTCTGAGGAAAGACGGTTTCTCAATTTTAGGATGAGAATTCCATCTCTTTATCACTCTTTTATTGAATTTAATTATTCGAATGTCGTTTTGTTATTCGATCGTCGGTCCTTTCGACTGATGGTCGAATAGTCGACTATTCGTTGACATCCCAAACTTCCATGCATATGTCGACTCGATCTATCCCCTTGAACTCGAAATTAAAGACACCTTAGAGCCTGCCACATCTGTTTCATATTTAGATTTTGTACTGACTATTAATAGACGATAATGGTCAACTTATAACTTAATTATATCATAAAGGAATTTATTTTTGTAGTTAAATCCCGCTATCACCTGCATATAGTGTTTACATCTCCCAGCTTATTCAGTAATCAAGAGCATGCTCCGAGAACGATCAATTTTTTAACCGAGGGAGGCTAATAACAGGTAAGTTGATGTTACAGAAATAACAACAACCTCGTTTAAAGTCAGCATTTAATTAATGCTATGGTTGTAATATTGACTTATTTAGCAAATATAACCTATCACTGTGTCGTGAATGACGTGTTTCATATCAGTTGTAAGGCCTTTGTTTTTAAATTTAATTTGACTAAGGAATGTTCCGTCTACCTTGTCAATACATAGGTCTCATGGCCGGTGTGACCGGACAACAGGGGATGCTTACTGCTCCTAGGCACCTCATTCCACCTCCATGTTTTATGTCCTATTCACAGATTTGTATTCTTTATACATTTTTTTATAAATTATACAACAAAGGCATAGATAAATTTGAACGTTTGAATTTTATTTTGTTTATGCGCCATTTGTTAGAGATATAACTGTAGACATCAGAATGTGAGTTGTTGATGAATTACTAAATTTTGCTCCATGCTCCGTGACCCCATTTCACAGTCTTCAATTTTAAATACCTTTGATATAAATCATGATATGGTGGATTTTTTTTTAATTTATATTTATTGTTATTATATGTTTACCAAATTTGGTCATAATATGACGTTAAATAAACAAGTTATGACAAAAGTCGACGAACTTTTTGAATGACCTCGTAAGCCAGTACAAATATCACTCAACAAACTGTGTATTTGTTAACACGTATAGTAACTGATACGTTTTAATTTTTGGAGCAAACAGCGCACAATAGTTCTCTTCCCTCAACATATGGTGGACATTTCAATGAACCACAGCGACCTTCTACAAAGTAAAATAGGTAGCCATCTTTATTAGCATGGCCACCATGCAATGTATCTGGATTCTTGTCTACACAGTTGTACATTGTTCCAGCCGGATGATCATGATATCCCGCCATTAGGTAGCCGTGGTACTCGAGATTCTAGCCTTTGTAACAAGTTTTTCTCGCTTTGATAAAATATAAAATCAAAATATTATAACGATTTGCCAACAAAAAGAAATGAGTTCAGCTTGTATTCTACAATGCAAAAAGCAAGGTTTTATCAGTTCTACGTAACTTGTACATTTGCACATCTATATAGAAGATAAAGACAGAAACGTAAACTGGGCAGTAGAGTACTTTATATCCTGTTTAAAAAAACATATGGGTTCTCATTCTACTTTTAAAATTATACCAGTTGATATTATTTGGATGTTCTGATTTTGCCTAATATATGCATTGATATTCCAGTATCACCTGCATATGGTGTTTAATCAATTTTGAAACTGAAGCAAGCTACTAACAAATGAATTGATGTTACAGGATTTCAACAAACTCGTTTAATATCAGCATTTCAAAGCAAATCTATGGGCGATATAATAAGCTTATTCGAAAATACATAAAAATTATCACTGGGTCGATATAACACTGACATTTTTCATACCGTTATGGCGTAAGGCTATTGTTTTTCTTCACTTTTGACTAGAATTTACACTGTTTACTCGATCAATACAGAGGACTTAAGACATCATGTCTTCTTCCCCCATCTCGTATACACAACGTTTCTGTTTCCTATACCTACTAATTAAAAAAAAATAATGATAAACTACTACACATTTCGTAATCATTTCTTATATATGTTTTTTTTATCCTACCTTGTTTCGAATATTTCTACAGCAAAGGAAACTAGGTTTTGCATAAATATATTTATAGTATTCATGCTTTTATTGAATACTTTTAATTTTTAAGACTGAAGATTGCAACTGATATCAACCTACACATTACAACCTCTGGATAGACACGACAAACATAGATTTAGATGTAATCTAGCTCCAGTGTAATAAAGTCTATCGATTAGTACTTATCACCTTGAAGTAAGAAGAATATTCTAGAATAACAATTTCGGCACTGCTAAGTATATTTCTAGTATAAAACCTTCGATAGATATTGTAATTTTGTCTACTATAGAACTATACAGGCATAATAACTGATCACAATTAATGTACAATTATAAATTATAATTCGTGTTTTGATTGAAGGTATAGATTATATAATAGATGAAATAATGTTTTAATTTGTTTGTTTGTTTTATTATTATTATTATTATTATTATTAGGGTCTTCCGTCTTCAGCGGAAGACCCTTCTATTATTCTTAGGTTTCTTTTTTACCTTTATTATTATTATTATTATTATTATTATTCTTTTTTCTCCTTACAAAATTTGTGCAGAGGATTTCTCGGAGATGGCTCGTTCGATTTCATTCAAATTTTCAAGGTAGATGCATTGACATCTGAAGTTAATTCCGGCAAGTCTGTTAGGGGATATTTACTTCCGGTCGAGAGTTATCGCCCTTTTATTAAAATTCAGAGCACCTCCTTGTCTGCGATGGAACACAAAAACGGCTTAAGCTAGAGCGCTGAAATTTTCAGTGATGATAGAGGACATGTTGCCATATTGCACCTGGGTTAAGAAATTTTCCGGAAGTGCCTAGTATGGAAGCTCGGTAGGGGTCGAAATTTAGGACACGAATCATGAGTGAATTTTTGAGACATTTTGTATCATATCTTTTAAAGTATAATTATTTTGTTAAAACATGTTGAACAATATTTGTGCAGAATAAAAAGATCTGTAACATGATATCAAGAAAAAAGGGCTGACTCATCACATTAGGGGCCAATAGGGGCCGAAAGTCTTTAATCGATAACTCTTAAACAAGCAATATTTTTGTATACATTACTGAAGCAAAATTATTTATCTTAACAAACTACAACTATATATTATGATTTTTACGTCATATGTTACATAAATAAGGGCCACAAGGGGCCAGAATGCTTAATCTTTGAAGCTTTATATCTCGAAAAGGGGAAACATTTTGAAAAGTAATATTGAACAAAAGTTGCTTAGAATGATGATCTGAACAATGTGCATCCTTTGAATTTTTCCTAAACAGCCCCTATAAGGACTTTAAGGGACGGCCCCTAAATATTTCAAGTCTACATATCTCGAAAACGAAACGAAACTTCTGAATAGTTGTTGAACAAAAAGTCTTCAGAATTACAAGACCTTTCAAGTGATTTCAAGAAAAAGGGGCTAACCCCTCAAATTAGGGGCTCAGAGGGGCCAAAGGTCTTTCATCTATAACTCCTTAACGTTAAATATTTTGATATTAATTATTGAAGCAAAAATGTTCATCTTCACAATCTGCAACTTTATATCATAAAATTTTCTTCAAATATTACGTAATTAGGGGCCATAAGGGGCCAGAATGCTTAATCTTTGAAGCTTTATATCTCGAAAAGGGGAAACATTTTGAAAAGCAATATTGAACAAAAGTTGTTTAGAATGATGATCTGAACAATGTGCATCCTTTGAATTTATTCCTAATCAGCCCCTATAAGGACTTCAAGGGACGGCCCCTAAATATTTCAAGTCTACATATCTCGAAAACGAAACGAAACTTCTGAATAGTTGTTGAACAAAAAGTCTTCAGAATTACAAGACCTTTCAAGTGATATCAAGAAAAAGGGGCTGACCCCTCAAATTAGGGGCTTAGAGGGGCCAAAAGTCTTTCATCTATAACTCCTTAACGTTAAATATTTTGATATTAAATATTGAAGCAAAAATGTTCATCTTCACAATCTGCAACTATATATCTTAAAATTTTCTGCAAATATTACGTAATTAGGGGCCATAAGGGGCCAGAATGCTTAATCTTTGAAGCTTTATATCTCGAAAAGGGGAAACATTTTGAAAAGCAATATTGAACAAAAGTTGTTTAGAATGATGATCTCAACAATGTGCATCCTTTGTATTTTCCCTTAACAGCCCCTATAAGGACTTAAAGGGATGGCCCTAAATATTTCAAGTCTGCATATCTCGAAAACTGAATAGTTGTTGAACGAAAATTCTTTAGAATTACAAGACCTTTCATGTGATATCAAGACCCCTCAAATTAGGGGCTCAGAGGGGCTAAAAGTCTTTCATCTATAACCCTTTTACAGTAATGTTCATCTTCACGATCTGCTACTATAAATATTTTAAAATCTTCATCAAATATTGCGTTTTCTGGTGCAATAATGATCAAAATTTTGTTAAACATAACTGAAGCAAATTGTACGTTTTCACTATTCATATATTTATGAACGAAAATCTCAGTCAAATTCGTATCTCATCTTATCAAAAATCGGACGGAAGACCCACTCGTTGCTCGCAACGAGATCGCATCTAGTTCACTTTTATTATTATTATTATTATTTTTTTCTGTCCAAATTTTGTGCAGACGATTTCTCAGAGATGGTTGGATGGATTCACTTGAAATTTTCAGAGATGATCTATCATGATCTAAACCTTATTCATTTTTTTTATTTTTTGGAAATTTACTTCCGGTCGGAAGTTATCGCCCTTTAATCGAATTTTTAGTGACCATTTTGTCTACACAAAAACTCAAAAACGACAAAAGATAGAGTGCTGAAATTTTCAGTGATAATAGAGGACATGTTCTAGTTGTGCACCTCAGTTTTCAAATTTTCTGGAAGTGCCTAGTATGGAAGCTCGGTAGGGGTCAAAATTTAGGACATGAATCAGGAGTGAATTTTCGAGACATTTTTTATCATATCTTCAAAACTATGAATATTTTCCTAAAACACATTGAACAGAAATTGTGCAGAATTACAAGATCTTTTATATGATATCAAGAAAAAAGGGCTGACTCATCACATTAGGGGCCAAAAGGGGCAAAAAGTCTTAAATCCATAACTCTTTAACGATCAATATTTTGTTATACATTACTGAAGCAAAAACGTTTATCTGAACAATCTACAACTATATATTATAATAAAAATCTCATATGTTACATAATTAAGGGCCATAAGGGGCCAGAATGCTAAATCTTTGACGCTTTATATCTCGAAAGTGGGAAATATTTTGATAAGCAATATTGAACAAAAGATGTTCAAAATAATGTTCTAAACAATATGCAACCTTTCAATATTTGCTAAACGTCCCCATTAAGGAGTTGAAGGGCCGGCCCCTAAATATTTCTTTTGCATATATCTCAGTAACGAAAAAGAATTTCTGAATAGTTGTTGAACAAAATGTGTTCAAAATCATAAGAGCTTTAAGGTGAAATCAAGAAAAAGGGGCTGGCCCCTCAAAATCGGGGCCAAAAGGGGCAAAAAGTCTTTCATCAATAACTCTTTAACGATCAATATTTTGTTATACATTACTGAAGCAAAAATGTTTATCTGAACAATCTACAACTATATATTATAATAAAAATCTCATATGTTACATAATTAAGGGCCATAAGGGGCCAGAATGCTAAATCTTTGACGCTTTATATCTCGAAAGTGGGAAATATTTTGATAAGCAATATTGAACAAAAGATGTTTAAAATAATGTTCTAAACAATATGCAACCTTTCAATATTTGTTAAACATCCCCATTAAGGAGTTGAAGGGCCGGCCCCTAAATATTTCTTTTGCATATATCTCAGTAATGAAAAAGAATTTCTTAATAGTTGTTGAACAAAAAGTGTTCAAAATCATAAGAGCTTTAAGGTGATATCAAGAAAAAGGGACTTGCCCCTCAAAATAAGGGCTGATAGGGGCCGAAAGTCTTTCATCAATAACTCTTAAACGATCAATATTTTGTAATACATTACTAAGGCAGAATAGATCATCTTCATACTCCTTAACTATATAACGTTGTTGGCATCATATGTTTCGTTATAAGGGGACAATAGGGGCCAGAATGCTAAATCTTTGACGTTAAAAAGGGACATTAGGGGCCAGAATGCTAAATCTTTGACGCTTTATATCTCGAAAGTGGGAAATATCTTGATAAGCAATATTGAATAAAAGATGTTCACAATAACGTTCTGAACAATATGTTTCCTTTCAATTTTTGCTGAACGTTCCCATTAAGGAGTTGAAGGGCCGGCCCCTATTATTTCTTTTGCAGATATTTCGAAAACGAAAAAAAAATGTAGAATAGTTGTTGAACAAAAAGTGTTCAAAATCATGAGAGCTGTAAGAAGATATCAAGAAAATAGGGCTGGCCCCTCAAAATAGGGACCAAGACGGGCCGAAAGTCTTTAATCTATAATCTTTAAAGATCAACATTTTGTTATAGATTACTGAAGCAAAATTGTTCGTCTTAACAATTTATTTATATCATTATATTTGAACGAAAGTCTCAGTCAAATTCTTATCTCATCTTATCAAAAATCGGACGGAAGACCCACTCGTTGCTCGCAACGAGATCGCATCTAGTTATTATTATTATTTGTTTTTTTTTTTAATTATAAGAGCATCAAGTTGAGAAGAAAAAACAATATACAAATGCACTCACAATCAAATAGAATGTAGAAATCATTGATTTCTTTTAAAACATCAAGCAATATTTGTTGGCATCAGATCGTGCAAGGTATACATAAGATATGTGCACATTTAAATAATATAGATATGACTTATAAAAATAATGGTCTGTGTAATTCCTAATTTTAAGTATTTTGACGGATCGTTGAGGTATATGTGTTTCGATTTTTTCATTAAAAAATGAAAAGCATAATTATTATGTTATATGTTCTTTGGACAATGCATATTTAACAAATCACGACTCTAACACGATTGCTTGTTGTGCCGAGAGCTTTACTTTGCTTAGAAAAAGAAAAGATTCATCTTGAAAGAATTCATTTCTGCATTGTCTTCAAAGTCCAAAAATGTATTATATACTCATGGACATTCGAGATAAACAGTTATCAAAAAGTTGAACATAACGGACAGTGATCGATTTCCAAAAAATAATCTACAAGCAATACAAATTTGTAAAGAGGGCATAAAACACGGAGCCTGGAAATTCCAGAAGTATTATCAGGTGCCTAGGAGGAGTAAGCATCCCCTATTTCTACATATAACTACATAAATAAGGAATGTTGACAATGGAAAAGCTCAGGTGATCTCGTTTGTCATACAATTTAGTTGCTAGCCCTTCAGGTCTATAGTTAGTAAATCATCTAAATATGGAATAAATGTGGCAGACTATGTGATATCTCTCTGAGATAAATTGAGTCGACGTCGATGTGAAAGTAACAGTTACTATTGTTCATTCATTTGATAAAACGTCGTCGATATATCTGAATGTCGAGTTGAAGGCCACAGCAAGTGTTTTTTTCTTTCTCATTTAGAAGTTTTTGAATAAATTCTGCTTAAAACAGGTCGGCTAATAAAATATCACAAATAGTGTCCATCTGAATTCCAACAGTTTGTTGGAAGACCTGACCTCCAAAGACTACATATATGTTGTCAATGAGGAACTCTAGCATCTTTTTTAATATCAATTTCAGAGTACTTGTGCGTAGCATTAGAGAGATCGTTAACAATTTTGTTGCTGACCAATCACAATCACTTGAAAAGTTCCGAATTTCATTTTTATTGAAAAAGCACCTGTGTATGATAAAAAAAGTAAAGTTCATGAAATAATTTTATTTCATTCGACTTCAAACAAGTTTAAGCAAAATTACACAACATTGTCGAATCAACTCTGTTACTTAAAATCTCCCTACGGAAATCATGACAATATGTGCTTTGAACATTTGCATATTAATTTTGTCGCAATAAACATTGATTTGTTTTTGGAGAGAAAATTTTACTTTGTTGTGGAATGATATTTATGTTTATATGAATATTTTTAAATATTCTTTCTCACAGTTTAAATTTTACATTAGACATGCCATATTATTGCTGCTTACTATCAATCATGCATACATTTGAAAAATCCACAACAAAAAATTCTTGAGATGATAAGTCATAAATTTGGTCTCACCATATGTTTCGTTAACATTACTTCCAATCTTATTTTGGCATCACGTATGATGCAAGAAATCTAATCCTTTAATATAGATATCTTAAAAATATAGTTATAAATATGGAATTAAAACCGTACATCCATGGCATTAATTATTTTACCTAAATAATTACATCAGTCCACAATTTATATATTGTAGTATTTCCAAAATCATAATTTCATATAGATTGCTGATACTCAAGAATAAATACATTTTAAACGTGATATGGCATAAATATTTTTTTTTTCAAAAAAGAAAACAACACAAATTTCAGATCGAATTTTATTCACAATCTTCAATTGATGTAAAACAACAATCCTGCTTCAAATTTTTAACAATTACGTAATAAAAATGATTAACAAAATTCAATAATTAAATATTCATGTGACTTTAATTTGTGACCTTTAGCGATAATTTATCAGTAAAATAGCTGTAATCAATGATGCCATCATGACGATAACTGATGCAACGTCAACACCTGAAGAAGAAAATATAATCTTGGTCAATGAAAAAGGAATTTCTTGAACTTTTCCCATCTGCTGCGTATGTATGAAATGACCTACTGGCCCAACTAGTCTAACTTGAAATCGATTTGTTGAAGAAGCTAGGAGCTACCTTAGAAACTGCCTTTGCAAATTGATAGAATAATAAAATATCAAAGAGCTGTAGTCAGGACAAAAGTGAAGAGACAGACAGACGTTGTGATTAATTAACCCTGAAACATCGCAAATTAAAGTAATAGAAATGCTTTAAAAAAATAATAAAGAAATGTAGGTTTACCTGCTCCGTTTTCAGCCAGACACATTGCTGCATTGGTACATCCGGCATATCCCTCTGTTTCGTCACTTCCGTCATCACAGTCTGAGGAACAGTCACATTTCAAAACGTCCTGGATACAACTCATACCGCCAGATTGACACGTGAAATATCCTGATGGACACAACTGAAAAAAAAAATCAAAACGCATCTAAATAAACTGACAAACTTTGACAGGATCTGATTCTTAGAGAAGTTCAGCCACAATTTGGCAAGCACTACTCAGGTTAATTCCTTTGTTCCTAAAAATATACACGTACAACTCATATGATGCATGAAATTGTGAGATTTTACATAACGTTTTAATCTCATTACTAGTCATTAATGTTTTCTGTTATGGAATGTTCTGTACGATGAGGGCGCAGAACATATTTACCGATACTGTTCCGACTGAAAAAAAAACCATCACGTAAACACCTTGTATGCGCAAATGAAACTCAGAGGAAGTTACCCGACTTAATGTTCTTATGCAAAATACATGCACAGAGCATATGTCACAATCGGTACTTTGTGACGCAAGTCATCGTCCAAACTATTAATGTAACTGTATCATGGTTAGTAAGATGTCCGACAACCACCGTGATCACCATGAACAGTTGATGTAGAAGTACATGTACTATATGAATAACCAGACACATGCTTACCTGCATGTACTGTCCAGCGGCTACTGTCGGACAGGCGTCAGTGTTACAGTCGCCATAATCTCCAGAAGTTCCGGGGCAATTCTTTCCGCCGTTCTCCGGTGCAGGGTTATCACAAATCCTGCCTCGCGACCTTTGACCTCCACCACAAGTGACACTACAAGTACCCCACTGACCCCAGGCGCCCCATGCTCCATCAACTGCAAGAACCAAAAAGACTTTTAGTCTGTTTCTTCAGCAGGTACTCTTTTCTCCCTTTGAAGAGGAAATTTTCAACATACCATGTTGATCATTTCCATTCGTTTTGGTTAAATTTGCTATCAAGGTCATTATAACGACCATAGAATTTACGAAATGCTGACTTTAAAAGTGGTTTTTGAAATCCATGTAAAATCAACTTGTCTGTCAGTAGCCCGCCTCGGTTTAAAAATTTATCGTACTCAGAGCATGCTCTTGAGTATCGAATTAGCTGGGAGATGTAAACACCATATGATAGCAGGATATAAATTTTGAAAATTTTTCTAAAAGATCGTTGGAGTTTTTGAGAATCCACATCTGATTTACACCACTTCTAGAATATGCTTTAGCACGGTACGTCTGAAGTTTGTCCTTTACAGCAGTTGATATTTCTTTATGGAGTAAAGATAGGGGCTTGGTAGAGCATTTGCTGGACCCGGCAATGTATTTCTATGTAAAAGAGTTTTATGAAGTTTAGGAATCCAGTATAGGTAGGGTCGTTGCAACTCACCTTGGATGACTTGAATGTTAAAATTTATTAAGGTATTGAGTCTGGAACTTTTTTTAAAAGCGTAATATACACTTTTAAATTGATCTAGTATACGTGTCATGTGAATTTTTCTCCAGAAATCTCGCCAATTTAGAATGACTCGGGTCTATAAATAAAAAAATATAAAGGCTTACTTATGCAGACTTGAGTGTTGCAGTCTTGTGTGCTTTGATTCGGTCCTGTGCAATCAGCACCTCCATACTGCGGCGCAGGGTTAGTACAGGTTCTGGAGCGGTCCTGTGTCCCTCCTCCACACGTGACTGTGCAAGTTCCCCAGCTACCCCATGTTGCCCAAATTCCGTCAACTGTTGGTTACAAATAGAAATCTTCAAAAGTTGTGCATATACAAGAAATAGATACAAGTATACTAATTTGCAGAAAAAATGTGTTTACTTGGACAGGGATTTGTGTTGCAGGTTTGGGAACTGGTGGAGGAGCCAGAGCAGGCTGCTCCTCCATACTGAGGGGAGGGATTTGAGCAGGTGCGAGTTCTCCCTTGAGTTCCGCCGCCACAAGTCACTGTGCATGTGTCCCAGTTTCCCCAGCTTCCCCAATTTCCGTCGACTGTATGTAAGAAATGTTCAACATTTTCTTTTTTTTTGTTTTTTGTTTTTGTTTTTTTTTTTTGTTAAGTTATTTCAAATAATTATCTCGATTTCACAGGTTATAAAAAGACAATACAACAGACACAGACATCTCAGAATTATTTAATCATATTTCGAATTTCACATTATTGCTAATTGAAAATTTCTTTAAATCTGATATACACTAAATTCAATAACCATGCTTACTTGGGCAGGAATGTGTGTTGCAAGACTGTGATTCTGTGGCGGATCCAGCGCATTGGTCTCCACCCCACTGTGGTGCGGGATTTGTACATGTCCTGGACCTTGTTTGCGTCCCTCCCCCGCAGGTTTTAGAACAAGATCCGTATGATCCAAACCCGGACCAACCGCCATTAATTGGAGGCGCTGTATAGATATTTGAGAGAAAGAAATTTTAAATAACAATCTACTATACTTTTTTTCTTGAAAATAATCAAAATGTCGTTTACGGAAAACTCTAATACTCACTGTTCTTTTTACACATGAACTGTAACGATCCGCTACATTTTCCGTCGTTCCATTGACCATCGCTAGCATAAATCAGAGCACAGTCTTCGTCCCCTGAGTTATTTGGCTCACCTGCAATAAATATAAAAGTTTTCAGATATAAATTCATATTTAAATAAATTAATAATGATATTTAACACCCCAAATGTTAATTAACTGAAAATGTTTTACGAAAATGTAAATTTTGATTAAAAGATTTGGAGTCATTTATCTGTAGAATGTGGGCGTTTGTTTCCATGGCAACGAAGGTGCATGGAAACCAAAATTTTGATGTTTTTATTAAAGTTGCATCATCACAAGTCACCATATTAAATTTCATAAAAATCTGTGACTATGCGTGCCGACCCCCCTATGCAAGTGTCAATCTAATTAAAATTAGATGTTCCGAATCCGCTACCGCTTCTCAAACATCTAACAACATCCCATTCGGGGTCACGTCAGAGCGACCTTTCGATTACCCAATGAAATCGCCGTCTCCGAAATCTTGGCTTATAGTTCGGATGCGTTTCTTTTTTAACTGCCAAACCTAAACGCCCGAGGGGTTTCGTAGTAAACAAAATATGCATGGTAAATCGTAACGACCGTGCTATATATGAATGTGACGTGCGGGATATATAGTAGTTTCTGCATTTTCGTTTGCGTTATTCAGGTAAGAATGCCAGATTGGCGGACTATACGTTCATTTTATACCAAAATTACTTTAATTCAACGTAAGACAGTCTACTGAGCATCATTAATGTAAAGATGTAGTCGGGGAACTAATTTTAGAATCGTATACAGAAGGTTGAATCTGATTGGCCAAATTTTTATGTTTATTCATAATCGAAAGGTCGCTCTGACGTGACCCCTAATAGGATGTTGTTAGATGTTTGAGAAGCGGTAGCGGATTCGGAACATCTAATTTTAATTAGATTGTGCAAGTGTGTAAGTCATTACAGAGAATGGCTCTTAATGCATTACATTCCACTGTATTTTACAAAATAATACATATGTATTATCTTTTCTGTCCTTTTTTTTATTTGAATGAAACCTATTTGAGCTTGCTAGTACTTCATCCACTGAACAGTTATGGTAAATATGAAAACAGGTTTTAGTATATAGACAGGTTATTGCATGTATAATGTGCAACCTTATAGAGAGCATGAGATCAATAATTATAACAAATATAATTATTAGCTTCCTGATTGATTGTACCTGACTTCCAGTTTGTGTAACTCCAGGAGAATGTACCTCCGGACCACGCCCATGATCCCTCCTTTGGTCCGTCAAATCCACCCATCCACATATCCTGTCCATTCATTAAACCTGCAGCAAAGGTGATCATTTCTTAATTTTGGTTCAAATTCGTTAAGCGATAGTCAATTGGAATTTATGAAAGAGTTTCAATAAGAGTTTTGATATAAATGGGGAAAAGGGGGTATTTAGACAAAATTGAAATATTATAGTACATTAATTACGACTTTCAATCAAGTGATGGTTAATGTTATAAAAAATTGATAATGTACACAACAACACATAAAATAGAAGACATTTAGTTTGATGTCGTGAATGTGAGATAATTAAAAGTGGGTAGCCCACAATCAAAATGAATCCTAATAACCGATTACCTCTCACGTAAGACATTTCAGAGGAATCTTCGACGTTCAACAGGTTAGCAGAGTTGGCCTGACAAGTCTTTAAAGCGTTGGACCACGTGACCTTAGATGTGAACAACTTGTAACATTTACCGTTCCTGAAACTCCAGGTGGAATCACATGAATCCAACGCAGCTGTAGGGTAGTTCATAATAATACAGATATATAAAATAATTAATACATGTAGTTATAAGGATTTTATGCAATGAACTTATGGTAATAATCTTAATTGATAAAAGTAATGCGTTACTTGTTTGTTCACAAATGTATGCCATGTCACGTTCGCAAGGATAATCGTTCCATTTCCCGCCACTAAGAAGACTGGCACAATCCTCTCCGCCGGAATCATTTGGCTCGCCTAAAAATAAATTTTAAAAAAATCTTGATAAAATGTCCTTAATCTATAAATATTTAAGAATAAAATGGAAAATGGCGTATTTTTATTCTGAATAAATGAACCGGTCGGGGTAGAATAGAAGTAGGGCGTTCATCACTCATCGGTGCATCGGTGCCACTTCAAACCTACAAGGTTAAACATAGGTAAGACTGTTCCTTCGCCCAGAAGCTAGACACTAGCACAGGTGCTTGAGGACAGGATCCCCCCCCCCCCCCCGATACAGACCCCCAGGTCTGTTCGACTCTTTTCTCACAAATTATGTATGGATGAAACATTACACATTTGTGATATAATATCCATATCATAAATTCGGAAAATTGACAAACATTTTATAAAAATTACTACCCTACCCTATATATATAAATTAACGTTGATTTATATATATAGAGGGGGTAGATTTTATAAAATGTTTGTTTCAGGTAATTTTTCGAATTGTTGGTATAGATTATATCAGAAATATGTCATTGAAAGATGATTTATGAGAAAAAAGTCGAAAAGTCCCGGGGGTCTATATCGGGGGGGGGGGGGGGTCCTGTCCTCAAGCACCTGTGGACACTAGAAGTAAAAGTAATGGGGCTTTCGAATGAAACCTCAATTCCGAGGTTCAGTACTTGTCACGTAGCGTTGGAATTCCTTTATTATAGAACGCTAGCTTTCGATATGTACAAATCTTAGAAGTATCCAGCTTAGTGTTGTTCTTTTGCATTATTGTTGTCACGAATGACAGAGGAATATGTCCGAATTGAAGAGAAAAACTCAGGAATTATGCTTCAGCCATGTTTTGATGTGAACCTTGAACGACTTCGCAAGATCTAGTTTCGCCTCCAATAGCAGCTAGCATGTGTACTTGGAAAGTGCTGCTAGAATCGTGAGGTAAATATGGTTTGAAGAATATCTGGGGTTATACATGAATGTACAACATTGTAGTATATGGCATGCAAAACATCGGGTAAGGTTTCGTGCGAATATGTGGAATAATTTTTTTCCCGACCGAACAGTGGGATTCTAGTAGCACTTTTTAGGCATAAGAGACGTTTTTCAACTATATTATTAACTCAAAGAAATTATTAAACCCCGGGGTTGTCTTGTTCTGTTAACCTCTTTTTATTAAGGAAAATTTTGCTATTAATAGCAATCACGTGATGATGTCGTGGTTTTGCACTTCTTGGCCTCAGACACTCTGTTGTCTTTATGCATTAGTTAATAACAGTTTACGTTTTATCGGTGACTTTGACAAATTATCAAACATAATTTTCATTAAAAAGTCTAAATTTCCCGAGAAATTATTTGTATGCTTCCTTAACATACCCGTGTTAATTCATTTAATGAAACAGTAGTTCTGTTTTGGAGTATAAACAGTGAAAATCACTGTCGTTTAATATTCTAATGTTTCGTTGTGTTTCATATTATTAAGGCTGTTTGAAAATCTCACTACATGTATATCTGTTTCGCTGGAAATAAGCCGTTTATGAGTCAGATTTAGAGCCACAAAGTTAGTGTAAACTTCGAAGTGAAAGCAGAATTAATTTTATCGATAAAGCACCTGCACTGATTGCAACACAGCAGAATATGATATATACAAAACAACATTGCTTGTGATCAATGTAAAGGCATATTGTTTGTTTAAGTATAATATTGATACAGTGACTGTAACTGTATAGTGTTTAGATTTTTTCCTCTGGACGTTGTGGATTTATACAGAGGAGTTTCACAAACTGCAGTACCAAACATGCTAAACGACAGACAAAAACGCGTTGTTCTTCCTTATTTTATTTTTTTCCCCCTTCAATTTACATGTGCTTAAAAGACTTTTTAATTAAATATGAAAAATGTTGCTGAAACAAGTAATGTCAAATTTGACTTGCAACTATATTTACGATTTACAGAACTAACTCATACAAAGCGTGGCGGCGGAGAAAATATAAATTTAAACAACAACTGGAAAACTTTATTGTGACTTTTTAATTGTGTTCTATCACAAATGGACTTCGAAAGTCTGCATATTTTTCTTTTCAATTAATTTTTTTACTAGAAATTGAAAACCTCTTGCGTCGGGTTTATTCTAGAGGTTTATGTAAATAAATGATTTTGTAAAACACTGGCTTACTGCTCTAACAATACTGACCTGAGTTCCACTTAGTATAAGTCCAGGACTGGATACTGCCGTACCAGAGCCATTGTCCCTCCGTGGAAGAATCTGAACCGCTGATCCAGAACTCATTTCCGTTGGCGAGATCTGAAATTATTATCCAGTGAAACTAGACAGTTTGATTCACCAAACTCTATAAAATGAATTTCAGCAGTTGACTGAAAACTGTGTACTTTTTCTACATAATTTCTATGGTTTTCTTGTTTATATAACGTATAACACCAGTATTGCGGATAAGTTCAGACTACATGAATTTTTTTTTATTTTACCACGATCGTTAAATATTCAATTTTAACATCCATACATAAATTTTATTGTACAATGTTCATATAAACCACGTTATTTTTCTTACTGTGTACAAAATTTTGTTCTCCGTCAGATCCGACATCTACTAAACTGCTGCCCACGGACTGACAAGCTTTAAGGGCATCCATCCACGGTCTTTTGGTTGTATAAAGTCTGTAGCAGTTCTCGCCATACTTTGTCCATCCCGAGCTGCAGGTTACAGCAGACACCCTATGCTCTGAATTCCATTTAAAAAAAGAAAATCACTATTACTATTTAAGCGAAACCCAATGTCATCGACAGTCGCAAATTCGTATGGTGCTTACATTGTCTTGAACTTTGACCTCAGAATACCTAAATACGAGGCCTTTGTCTCTTAAAATTTCACAT